CAAGAAGGCCTATATAATAAGCACGAGGAGACGGGGTAGGTACTCACCTTCCAGAACCAATGAATTTGTTTGCTTGAGCGCGTATACTTCAAGTACACGGTATTTTTCTCCCAGTCGACGACATCGATTTCTGGCATGCCCGAGAGCAAAAGCTATTGAAAAATACGGTGAGAGAGAGAGTAAAAATTCCTAAGTGAGTATGTTACACAGATATCGACAATAAACAAAGTAAAGAAGTAAAGGCATTCTTGCAAACAGGCACTGGAAAGCGCGAGAGATTACCACGTTAGGAACAAAATTGTGCCAATCAAAGCTAATGAGAGAGAAAGTGCAATTGTGTAATACGAAAGAAGCTGCCTTTCGAGAATCATCGATCGGTTAGAACGGTTCCTAGAGAGAACGGGTTGCGATGAATTAAAACGAAGCACACTTACCAAACTTGGTATAATTGTTTGTTTTCACTACCTACTTGTCACATGGAACTCGCAGGACACCAACATATTCATGCCACGGTCGAAATCAAGGGTATGGTTTAGGTGGTAGGCTGCCTTGCTGTCGTCCGGTTAAATACCACACCCAAGCTAAGCGGGGCTGTATGTGGTTCGCCATTCGAAGTCCCGGGGCCTAGGTTACTGGTTTCCATGACTGAACTGCACGTCTTCGTGACTATGGGGTCCAACTCGTGTTTGCTATTCCTCACCCAAGTGTGTAATAAACTAAATCTGTGTGGCACCAGGTCAACCGTGTTCTGACGTGATTCTTTATTGAGCTAAAAATAAGCGCGAGTGCGTACTTGACAGTTGACCCCAATAGTGGCGATTTAGTCGCATGTAAGAGTTAACAACATACGGAATCACCAAATGGGTAGTGGCTACAGCAATAAAAATGACCGGTGTACGCACAGGTTTATTTTTCAGAAACCTCCGGCTTCCAGTCCACAGCCTTGGTAACGAAACACTCGCCAACTGTCCGAAAGTACCATCATTACACACAGAAAAAAAACACAGTAGCTAACAAGTTCGTTTTCGATTATTCTTCTATAGGCTAATGCGTTAAAATTTAAAACAAACTGCTTAGAAGGGAAGAGATAATGGAAAAATGAAAAAAATTAAAATTAAGTTCCATGACTCCGATGGGTGACCACCAAAATGTGAGCAACATCCGATCATGACACTAAGTGCCTTCAAATGGTGTAGTATGGTCGGGGATAGGTGTCTCCGTGTAATGGCAGAGAATTGAAATCAATGCAATATATTCTGCATCCAATTACGAAAATAAACATCTATGTCTATTAACCTATGTGGAACACGATCTCAATTTCACGAACGTCGAAGACAACGTCACATTTGAATGGGAGCATGGGAACCAGATAAACAGTGCGTTACAAAATGGTTATTCCGGGTATGTACTCAAACCACACGTTTATTAACGCGGTCAGGAATGAAAGTGTTTGTCCACTCACTTTGTCCAGCATTGTCATTTAGGTCATTTCGAGCTGATTTGAACTAAGTCACGGGGATTGGAATCTAGTCAGCTGCCGTTCTTTTTGCTCTCGGAGTTGCTGGTTTAAAAGAGTCTGGGTGTCTACCTACCTACCTACCTACCTACCTACCTACCTATCTATCTATCTATCTATCTATCTATCTATCTATCTATCTATCTACCTATCTATCTATCTATCTATCTATCTATCTATCTATCTATCTATCTAGTATCTATCTATCTATCTATCTATCTATCTATCTATCTATCTATCTATCTATCTATCTATATTTTATCTATCTATCTATCTATCTATCTATCTATCTATCTATCTATCTATCTATCTATCTAGTATCTATCTATCTATCTATCTATCTATCTATCTATCTATCTATCTATCTATCTATCTATATTCCTACTTGTATTGGTAATCTGTTCTCTCCCGTCTCAGCAGTTTCCTAGTCATCCGAACTAGCGCATTCCGGTTCTTCTATTGTTTGCCTATTGATCCGCGGTACGAATTAATATGCATGCGTGTCATACATCAAATGCAAACGGATACTAATTTTCTTATGTGACTCACCGAACCGGATGAATATGGTCACGCTATGACGCTTTTTAACTTATGCTTGCTCAAAACAACATGAATGTATCACGATTCCTCATATACCGCGTGACTACTAAATAACAATCTTCCGATCGAAGATCGTCGTTTATTTACAGTTTGTTCTCGTTAGTACATGCATTCACTGTACCATCTCTATCTCTCCGTGCACATGTGATTCAATCATTGACAAAAATAAACTGTTATTTTTTCATCACACCTGCGTTTCGATTTCAACTTCCTTGTAGCCGCGTGAGTAAGACCGATAAGCCGATTTTGGAATACCAACGGAATAAAACAAGGGGTGTATGTGTATAACATTTTTTGCCCTTTACTCATTGCAATGAAATAATACTATACTTCAAAGAATTCTCTCTCACATACACACACAATAAGCAGTATATGAATGATTGAACAAAATTTCCCTGGAAGAAGACGACCGGTTTCGTGCCACTCGTCAGGCATGCGTGTCCGGTAACTTTTTGCCAGTTCATTCATATACTTGTATCCAGGAAGTGTATTTTCGTCACAATAACCTTGTTTGCAACGCTGGCTCTGGAAGAGCCAGTCCATCGAAGAATCAATACTATAATTCAGTTCTTTTAGGCTGGTTATATGCTACTAACCGCAAGAAAAGTGAGTTGAACGTTTTTATAGAGTATTCCGTAATAATATTAGAAATATAACCTCAACGCAACAACAATAATACCAGGGGAAAACAAAGCGGTTGCGATACAAAACAGAGTAAAATGGAGGTCAAACAGTTATAGTGAATAACAGGAATAACAACCTTTTGTTCGTCTCGCCTTTCACAAATACAATTTCGTAAGCAACCAACCAATCTGAAGGAGCAAATCGACGACTCAGCACGATAGTACTTTCCGTTGGATCGTCATGTGACTGGTTGGTGAAATGATAGTTCAACCAAGTCCAACTATGATGTCATGTGGTGTGAACCTGTCATCGCTTACTCTGTTCCCTGGTCATGCATATGTTCCGTCCTAGTAAGTTTAATCTACTAGTATTGTTATGATGTACTACTCACATTAGTGAGTATTGTGTTTCGGAGAAAGTGTACGAACCAATAACAGTTGCGTTCTATGTAATCTTATTCACCCTCCACATTCCCCACTTCCCTATCTATGATCATCTTTCAATAAATAACTCACATCAGCCTGATACTTAGCCAGTAGATATTTGACATTATGCGCAGAGGCAATAATGTTGTTTAAGGTATGTCAAATATAACTCTATTGTTTTTACGCACTCGGGTCGAACAAAAAACAGAGGGCGGTTTATAGACTAGGAATATGCGATTTGTCTCACTCATCATGAAGGCTATATATGTATATTTCCTCAAATAGACGTTTGAAACTCTCTCGTCTAGATTCACGGTACAATATGAATATCATTCACTTCGCTTCTTTCTCTGCACTTTCCGTTGAACAATTGACAGAACAATTTTGTGCAATGTTGACTATTCCGATTTCAAACTAATCAAATGCCAGTCACTTCATTCTGTGCATATTGGTGTGCTCATAAAATCGAGCAACAATTTCTCAGCAACAACCAAACGTATCCAGCCCACAGTTCAAGGGCGTATGATATCGCAACATGATCAAACACGTTTTAGAGTGGCAATATTGGTTTAGCCCATTCGATTGATAAGCACTATCAAGCACTCTTGATGGTCTTGGGTGTGGGTTTCACTCCTTCGGAGATAGCATGATTAAAAACGTTTGCTCGTGAGCCGAAATGTTTGTGAAGTTTACTACAGCCTCATTTGATGGATTTTCAATTTATTTTTCACCATGATACGTGAATGTCAAACAAAACAGGACCTTCGTCACACATTGATTAATAGGGCTTGAGTCGGGTGAATTTTGTGGTCTCGCCAGTTGAATAGACTGGACCTCGAAACACTGTGGAGAGATTGTTGAGAACTGAATAGACAAAATCCATTTTTCGAGTAGTTGTTTCTTTCATAAGTCTACCAGTTCTTCAGTTTGCAGTTTATATAACTATTAACTATGCAATTTCGTGCGACAGTTTTGATTGCTGTCTTCCAGTTGCCCATTTGCATGACTTAGCAGGAGAAAGACAGGAAAGATGAACGCAGAGTCACACACAAAATTGAGAATTTCAGTGTACTAGGGTTGCAAAGAAATTGAGAAAATGCACGAATGCCAATATTTGTGATACTCAGTCATGTCACTCAAGGCCTCCAAACATTGATTACAATGATCCCGAGGCCCTCAGTCAGGAAGCTTACCGGTATCTATGTGACCAAATCTCCTGGATGCGGTTTTCAGACCCGCGTACCAGGTCTAATTTTGACCAACCTTGGCTTTTCTCTATCCACCAACTAACTCTGTACAAGTTAAGCGCCAAGGCAATCTATTTTATGACATCCGTAACACATGCCCCAACCAACGTAATCCTTGGAGGTTGACCACTTGCTCCTGTGGGCGACCACAATTACCTAAAACTCTGCACCTAAACATCAGCATTCCTTGTTTGGATGCACCATCAGAGTCGTTCAATGGTGCTCAGACAGCAGTGTTTCAACCCCGACACTCTATCTTTATTCCGTTTTCCAAATTCTAAGTCCACCACTGTATCATTTTGAATACAGGTGTATAACGGTTTTGTTTATTGATAGTTGGAGATATAATTGACACTGTAGAGCACTCGAATAATGTACTTCTACTTCTCACTCAATCATGTTATTGTGTGCATCCGATATAGCCACTACGCTGCAGCCTGTGTCCAAGGTACTCGGTGCTCATTTTTATCAAACTATGATTTTTTACCATGACTCAGGCTATTCCATAGTCTACTGAACACCAGCCAATGAGCACAAAAGCATCTTTTTCGTGTAATCCAAATGGGATGGCAAAAAGTGAAAAGCACGGTGAACAATAAAAGTATCGAAATCAACGGGAATTAGGCTTTTATCAAAAATGTGACACCCACATCCACCAATATTGTAGCAATAATTTATTGGCTTGAAGAAATCGACTATGCTTTGTTCGGTACGGTGACAGTCCAAGAGAAATGACATTC